TCCTTATCTTGATACACACATGCAAGTATATCTGAAGAATAACATGGTAGAAGCGGAATTGCTGGAGCACAGGGTAAGTGCATTTAAAGTTTTTATTGATATCACCAAGTTGACATAAAAATCATTTGGTGGGCGGCACCTATGGCTCAGTGGGTAGGGCGCCGGCCCCATATACTGAGGATAGTAGGTTCAAACCTGGCCCCAGCCAAACTGCAACCAAAAAATAGCCAGGCGGTGTGGCGGGCGCCTATAGTCCCAGCTACTGAAGAGACTGAGGCAAGAGAATTGCCTACGCCCAGGAATTGGAGGTTGTTGTGAGCTGTGATGCCATAGCACTCTATCGAGGCCAACAAAGTGAGACTCTGTCTCTGGAAAAAAAAAAAAAAGCATTTGTTGCCAGCATGATAGTTCATGCCTGTAATCCTGATATTTTGGAAGGCTGAGGTAGGAAGATCTCCTGAGGTCAGGAGTTTTAGACTAGCCTGGGCAACACAGTGAGACTACCCGTCTTTACAAAATATTTAAAAATTATGCAGCCACAAAAAATACAAAAAAAAGATGGAGACTTTACATCCTTTGGATTTACCTGGATGGAGTTGAAAAACATTCTTCTTAGTGAAGTATCACAAGAATGGAAAAGCAAGCATCCCATGTACTCAATACTAATTTGAAACTAGTAGGTGGACAACTAACTATAGGCCCACATGAGAGGAAAACCCAATTAAATGCAAGAAGGAGGCAGGGGCTCGGCGCCTGTGGCTCAAGTGGCTAAGGCACAAGTCACATACACCTAAGGTGGCGGGTTCGAATCCAGCCTGGGCCTGCCAAACAACAATGATGGCTGCAACCAAAAAATAGCCGGGCGTTGTGGCAGGCACCTGTGGTCCCAGCTACTTGGGAGGCTGAGGCAGGAGACTCGCTTGAGCCCAGGAGTTAGAGGTTGCTGTGAGCTGTGATGCTACAGCACTCTACCCAGGGGGATAGCTTGAGGCTCTGTCTCAAAAAAAAAAAAGGAGGAGGCAGGGAGGAAGGGGGAACGGAGCTCAGTAAGCTCCCACCTAACGGATATGATGTAGGGGTATATGGCACACCTCCCGAGGGAAGGACAAAGATCCAAGTCAAATACAACTTGGACTTTTCCTGACAAATGCAAACAATGTAACCTAATCATATGTACCTTTATATCAATCTGAGGTTATATATATGTGTGTGTATAAATATATTTATTTATTTAAATATTAGCCAGGCATGGTAGTACACATCCATAGCCTTAGCAACTTTGGAGGCTGAGGCAGGAAGATTGTTTGAGCCCATGACTTTGGGGCTATAGTGAGCTATGATCATGCTTCCACACCCCAGCCTGGGCATTAGAATGAGACCCTTTCTTTAAAAAACAAAACACAAGGTCAGGTGCTATAGCTCATGCCTGTAATCTTAACACTCTGGGAGGCCAAGGCAGGCCCATCTCTTGAGCTTAGGAGTTGGAGACCAGCCTGAGCTAGAGTGAGACCCTGTCTCTAAAAAATGCTGGGCATTGTGGAGGGCACTTGTGGTCCCAGCTACTTGGGAGGCTTAGGCAAGAGAATCACTTGAGCCCAAGAGTTTGAGGTTGCTGTGAACTATGATGCCATGACACTCTACTGAGGGCAACAAAGTGAACCTGTCTCAAAGAAGCAAGAAAACAGAAAAAAACCAAATAGGCCTGGTGTCGGGTGGTTTACCCCTGTAATCTTAGCACTCAAGGAGGTAGAGGCAGGATGATTTCTTGAGGTTAGGAGTTTGAGACCAGCCTGAGCAAGAGTGAGACTCTGTCTCTACAAAAAATTAAAAATTAGTTGGGCATGGTGGCACATGCCTGTAGTCTCACCTACTCAGAAGGCTGATGCGGGACCATTACTTTAGCCCAGGTGTTTGAGGTTGCAGTGAGCTGTTGTGATGCTACTACATTCTAGCTAGGGCTATTGAGTGAGATTCAGTCTCAAACAGACAAAAAAAAAACAAGGTTATTATACGTCATGTTCCATCTGGACACTTGTTTCCCCAGGAGTGTACCCTTCTGACCAGATGGATAATGACTATGGCCAGGTGATTTCTTGCCACTAGCCCATGAAGACCCTGAATTGCGGTTCTCCAAAGCCAGAAGTTAAGTGATAGGTGAAAACTGAAGAAAGAAGGGGATCAGGGCCCAGCGCCTGTAGCTCAGTGGTTAGGGCACTGGCCACATATGCCAGGGCTGGAGGGTTCGAACCCCACGTGGGCCTGCTAAACAACAAGGACAACTACAACAAAAAAATAGCCAGGTGTTACGGAGGACATCTGTAGTCCCAGCTACTTGAGAGGCTGAGGCAAAAGAATCGCTTAAGCCCAAGAGTTGGAGGTTGCTCTAAGCTGTGACGCCATGGAACTCTACCGAGGGTAGAGTTCAAAATAAAAGAAAAACAAAACAAAAGAAAAAAGTGGATCGGAACACTTGAGCACAAAGTGTAGTCAAATCAGCAGTGTTTATTTTGACACTTGGGTGCAAGTGGGCTAAGATCTAAATGATGATGGGGGCGTTTAGGGAGGGGAGTGGTCTTATATAGCTGGCAGAGGGGGAGCTGAAACCAAGGTCCTGGTTTCTGCCCACCAAACTATTATTTTCGTCAGGATATTAAAGATGTTATCTCATTATAGGGACTCTTCTGCACTTCTTTTTATTTTTTAATTTTTTTAAGAGACAGAATCTTCACTTTGTCACCCTGGGTAGAGTGCTATGGCATCACAGCTCACAGCAACCTCCAGCTCTTGGGCTTAAGCAATTCTCTTGTCTCAGCCTCCAGAGCAGCTGGGACTACAGGCGCCTGCCACAACACCCAACTATTTTTGGATTGCAGTTGTCATTGTTGTTCAGCAGGCCCAGTCTGGGCTTGAACCTGCCAGCCTCGGTGTATGTGGCCAGCGCCCTACTCCCTGAGCTATGGGTGCAGCCTCTCCCGCACTTTTTATGGGAGTGTCAGCATATTTCTCTCAGGTGGGTTAATAATTAGGCTGGAGTAAGAATGAACCTGCAGCATGTCTCTCTCTCTTATCTCAGTTATGTCCACCTGTAACAGAGTCCCACAGAATGGCTTTTCTGTTTTTTTTTTGAGACAGAGTCTCACTATGTCACCCTTGGTAGAGTGTCATGGCATCACAGCTCATGACAACCTCAAACTCTTGGGCTTAGGTGATTCTCTTGCCTCAGCCTCCCAAGTAGCTGGGACTACAGGTGCCCACCATAATGCCCAGCTATTATTTGGTTCTAGTTCTCGTTGTTTGGCAGGCTAGGGCTGGATTTGAACCCGCCAGTCCGAGTGTATGTGGCTGGTGCCCTAGCTGCTGAGGTACAGGCACCAAGCCCACAGAATGGCTTTTCAAGATGGAGTTAGCTTGGCCAACCTAACATTTAATACCTTCATAGAAGATATTTTCTTGGCTCAGTGCCTGTGGCTCAAGCGGCTAAGGCGCCAGCCACATAAACCTGAGCTGCTGGGTTCAAATCCAACCCGACCGCCAAACAACAATGACAGCTGCAACCAAAAAATAGCCAGGCGTTGTGGCGGGCAGGCGCCTGTAGTCCCAGCTACTTGGGAGGTGGGCACTCTTCACTGATATTTGTGCTATTTGGGCAGGTTCTTGGAAAGTGTGGAGCTCAACCAATGAAGAGTCTTTAGGGCCTCTATCCTATTTTAAGACTAAGAAGAGAGAGGAGGTGGGGAGCCACTATTTCAAAAAGATGCAAGTATGGCAAGGGACCAGAAAGTGCCATCATCTGGGAACACATGGTTCAGGCATGAATAGCAAGTTCAGCTACGCCACTCCTGGCAGCAACAGGATTGAGGGGAGAGGGGTTTGGGGAAGTTTTCCTCAAGGGTCATAACATGGTTGCAGTGTTGAGTATGACCCTAAGTGCTTGGCAGACGTATATGTCTGTTGATTACCTGCACCTGACCTCTTCACCTGAGATGGTCAATGGATGATTCTGGCCTCCTTTTTGGAGCTAAACAGTCGTTGAGTTCAGGGAGCAGCTCCGGAGACCTACAGGATTGGGGTACAGGTGTAGACGCTCCAAAATGTCAGAGCAGTAAATACATGTCCTGATTTCCAGGACTGTCTGATTTCACATATTCTGCCCCACAAGTTCAACAACACCTGTCATATTGAGTGTCCCAGTTTGGGGTTTGGAAAACATGGAGGGGACAGTTCGTTCATTCCAGTGTCTTAAGTCATTGGTTCAGAGGGAGCAAGATCCTGGCCGAAATCGCCCCAGCCCTGAGTGCTAGAATCTCCCATCCAGTTCTCAGCTCCGCCCTGATCCCCGCTGAGGTGAGCAGGTGAGTAGGACGGAATTCGCTGTGACTGGCGTCCTCCTATACCTTTACTCATGGCATTCTCTGCTCGATCTTATATAGGGAAGTAGGCTCTGTTTACCTGGGCTCTCAGCCTCACCCCATTAGCTCAATAGGGAAGATGTAGGGAGGGGAGAGGCGTCTGGCGCGCTTGGGAAAGCAGTTTGCCAAGGTAGCTTAAAAAGAGGGTCTAAGCAGCCGGGACCGGTATGGCAGATAACAGGCGGCCGGGATGTCTACGTCAGTTTCTCCCTAGGGAAGAAGGAAGGGGACTCCAGGTCCCAAAGCTGCGCTACACCCAAGTTGAGCTAAACAACCCCCTCTCCCTCCCGGAGTGGCAGTCGGCCCAGCCCCGAAAGCAATCAGGCCACGGCCCCCAGCCCGGTACGCTCGCCTCACAGTGTAGCCCGGCCCATCTCCCCACCTGAGGCTCCGCCCCGGACCCGCTGGCCCTTTAGAGGCGGCGCCCGTAGGCCGTCTGCCGCTGACCGGCCGGCGGGACTACAAGTCCCTGCAGCCCCCGAGGCCCGCCTCGAGGGGCGGGGCCGTGCCGCCAGCGAATTGGGAGGAGCCCTGGCGCTCAGGCTAGGGAACGCGTGTGACCAATGGAGAGGCCGCTCTGGCCGTGAGCTGATGGGGGCGGGGAGAAGGCCGCCTGGGCCGGAACAAAAGCCGGATCCCGGGCGGCTTCGGGTGGCTGGAGCGCTCCTAGTAGTGGGGCTGAGTTGGGCCTGTGGAGGGAGTGGCGCGCACAGACTTTCGCAGGGAGGTGAGTGCGGGCGGCTGTTTTTGCAGGCGGGACCCCAACTTGCCCTGGGAGCTTTCTGCCTCCCTCCCCCAACCCGAAACCGCCGACGCTGGCTGGATGCTCACGCGCCCTCCCTGCACCTGCTTGGAAGTTTTTTTGGGGGGAAGGTCTTAGCCTAGGTTATCCTTCGCCCGGGACCCCGGCCGGTTGCTGCGATCGACCCCCTATTCCCTAGGCTCCCATATTCCAGTTCTTGGGAGTTTGCACAGGGCTTGCCGCGGTCCTTGCTTCTGTTCTCTTCTCCAAATTGCATTTGCCCCATCCTGGCGCCCCTCTCCCCCACCCAGGGACAGTCTCCTCGGGCTTTTTCAGGTCCTCCCCCCGCCACCACCGGATGCCAGGACGGGAAGTAGAGAACGAGGTGGTGACTGGCCCCACTTCGACCCCTCACAAGCCGGGCTCGGGCCCTTCCTCTTAGTTCTGTGGAGAATCCATTGAGCTGCACGCCTAAGTGGAGGGAGTGATCTGGGCGCGCCGCCGGGGCGGGCCACGCGGGGCCAGGCTGCCCCAGGGTGCCCAAGGCCTTGCCTTGCCACGAGGACTTGGCCGGGAGCTGCGGCGCAGGGAGGTCCCTCCCCACTCTGGAGGTGCCCTCGCTCTCAGTCCCTAAGCGACAGATGGCCAGTGTGCCCGTCTCCTTCCCCACCTACCCCTGAGCTGATACGGAGCCTGACCATAGCAAGGTTCTCAGGGGGCTGGAGGATGCTGCCACCGCCCTCCTGTGGAGCCTGGCACAGGGCCAGGCCCAGAGCCTGCTGCCCTCTCCAACCTTGGCAGATAACCACGCAGGACCAAAGAGCTCTGCCATAGAGGGTGGGGGTCTGCTAGTCTACTCCTCCTTTTAACTTTGTTCAATGTTCCAGCCAGCTCAGCTCCTTGAATTTCTGCAAATGTTGGGTGGAGGACAGCTGGTAAACCCCAGCTGCCTGGAGAGGTAATTTTCACCTCTTCAAAAACTCCCTAAACAGCTTGGGGGACAGTAATGGGAAGACTTTAGGCATGTAGCATTTCCATCCCCATCTTGACACTATTCCTGTTGCAGTTGGGGACGTCATGCACAGAATTTTACCTGTCTCATTTACTCCAGAGATTGTTTTCTCAAATCCCAGTCCTGTAGATGCTAACCTTAAAATGAGCGCTTTTTGTCTTTCCCAGAGAGAGACCCTACATAGTATCCCCAGTGATTCTTTTCCACAAGCTGTGTTCCAGAGGTACATCTTGCGGAACACGAACCTTCATTCAGCCTTTCCTGTGGCCTGCTGTTTCTCTCTGTGGCTGAACTCAATCCTGGGTTGCTCACTCTGTCTGCAGAAAAGAGACCCCATTCAGAGGCCGGGCGTGGTGGCTGATGCCTGTAATCCTAGTACTCTGAAAGGCCCATGCAGATGGATCACTGAGATCAGGAGTTCAAGACCAGCCTGAGCAAGAATGAGATTGCCATCTCTAAAAATAGCTAGGTGTTGTAGTGGGCGCCTGTAGTCACAGCTATTTGGAAGGCTGAGGCAAGAGGATCACTTGAGTCCAAGAGTGTGAGGTTGCTATGAGCTATGACGCCACAGAACTCTACCGAGGGTGACAGAGTGAAACTCTGTCTCAAAAAGAAAAGAAAAGACCCCATTCAGTTCTTAAGGTCCCTCCCTTAGAGAGTGTGTATGTTTTTAGGTTCCTTGGCATGATTTTCCCTAAATGGTTTATAAACTTACCTTTTGCCAGGTAACAGTTCCTGGGATCCAGGCTCTGCCCAACCATCTGTCATCACTTTGACAGCACATTCAGCTACTGGCCAGGCAGTGTGAGACTTTGGAGGGGGGGTGAGTTTCCATAAACCCAGAGTGGTATATATTTTATTTATTTATCTATCTTTATCTATCTATTTATCTTTCTTTTTCAAGGCAAGGTCTTGCTCTGTTTCCTGGGCTAGAGTGTGGTTGCAGATGGGTATATACTTTTAAGTCCCATTGTCACTAGAGTAAGCGTTCTTTTTTTTTTTTTTTTTTTTGAGACAGAGCCTCAAGCTATCTCCCTGGTTAGAGTGCTGTGGCATCAAAGGTCACAGCAACCTCCAACTCCTGGGCTCAAGGGAGTCTCCTGCCTTAGCTTCCCAAGTAGCTGGGACCTCAGGCGCCCGCCACAACGCCTGGCTATTTTTTGGTTGCAGCCATCATTGGTGGGCCTGGGCTGGATTCAAACCCACCACCTTCAGTGTATGTGGCTGGTGCTTTAGCCACTTGAGCCACAGGCGCCAAGCCAGAGCAATGTTCTTAATTGGTGGTCTGTCCATGAGCCGTCAGATCATAGACACAGATGATCTCAGAATGATAGGCACAATTGGATATGTGCATATTTTCTGGGCTTTTCTTCAGAGTGTCAAGAGTCTGAACCTCAAAAAGGTTAGGAGAGTCTTAGAAGACTTCGAGACCCCACTGAATGATTAAAGTTGTGGTTTATTTCCACTGAGTCCACTTCTCGGGTTTGAGTCCACTATCTTCTCATCGTGCAGTGATGAATATACAGAGGCTAGACTCTTGTTGTTTTTTTTTTTTTTCCTTGAGACAGAGTCTCAAGCTGTTGCCCTGAGTAGAGTGCTGTGGCATCACAGCTCACACCAACCTCAAACTCTTGAGCTTAAGTGATTCTCTTGCCTCAGCCTCCCAAGTAGCTGGGATGCCTGCCACAACGTCTTGCTATTTTTTGGTTGTGGTTGTCATTGTTGTTTGGCAGGTCCAGGCTGGATTTGAACCTGCCAGCTCTGGTGTATGTGGATGGTACCCTAGCTGCTGAACTACAGGCACCGAGCCCAGACTCTGTCCTTTTATTGTATAAATTCTTTGTCTTGACCCCCCCAAGCCTAAGTGCCCTGATAGCAAATCTCTTTTACTTTGGTAAACTGGCAAATCTTATCTTCTATATCATCCCCCTTCCAAAGACCCTATGGAGATGGGCCCTTGGATCTGAGGCTCAAGAAAGTTGTGATTTTTTTTTTTAATGTATTTAGCTGCAGAAGTTCCCTTTTTTCTCCTTTGTCCTTTCCAAAGTTGGGTCTTGTGTCTGTTTTAGGAGGTGCCAGGTTCAGGGGGCTGTTGTCCTGGGACTATCAGACTTCTTTCCTGTGGAGAAGCTTAGGCAAGGGTCTTCCTTTCTCCTAGAGTTTATAATCACTCTTACTGAGGTGTCAGAACTACTGAGGGTAGTCAGCTGCTGCCCCCACCTCTCTTTGCTGGATCTGCTCTGGGTTACACAGTGTTTGGGAAGGGGGTGGGGGGGAGTACCCATTTGATTTCAGGACCAGTTTTTCTGGTCTGAGTCAAGAAGGTTGGGAAATGGAGTGGGAGTGGGTGGGGGGTGGAGGACTGTGGGGCAGTGTGACTGGTCCAGGTGTCTTCATTGAAAACTCATATTGAGAAGGAGTAGTCAGTAATCTCAGGGGAGTGCTAGAAAAGGGAATGCTTTTTCTGAGCCCCTTCCCAGCTATCCCATTTTGGGCCAGATACCAGGCTGAATATGCCCATTGTGCCAAGTTGGAGACTAGCTGGTAGGCTGAGGGAGCCAGCCAGGTCAGGATTAGAACCTGGAGCCCCACGAGCCTGGCCAGCTGGGAGGGCGTTGCAAATTGGCCCCTGGAACACTAGCTTTCCCTGAGTTAAGAGTGTAGACCAACCTTCTTGTGTGTGTGAACCAGCCACCTCCTAACTCTCCCTTCCTTTATTTTTATTTAATTATTTTTCCTCCCACCGCAAATTCAACAACTTTACTTCTGGGCCTTTGTGGGAGAGGCAGGAGTGAATTTTCCTCATTTGGCCAAGTCCTATCTTCCCCTCTTCTTTTTGCCTCCCCAGGGCACTCCTGCATTCCTGCCACACTCACAGGAAAATGAATGTGTTAGGACAAGGTAGTAGGCAAGGGAGGTAAAGAAATTCTCAGTACAGACTCCTTGAAGTGAAAAGGGCATGTGGACCCGGTTATTCTTGGAGAAAGGGTTTCTTCTCAGGCTGGTGTGGATTTTCCTGAGACCTAGGTTGAAGTCCTAGGTCTCAACCCTGCTTATTATCAGTTGGGACAGTCGAGCTTCTTGGGCAAGGTTTCTTTATTTGAGACAGAGTTTTGCTCTGTCACCCCAGATAGAATGCAGGGGAGTCAGCCTAGCTCACAGCATTCTCAAACACCTGGGTTCAAGTGATTCTCCTGCCTGAGCCTCCCAAGTAGCTGCAGTGGCACCCCACTGTGCCTGACTAATTTTCCTTTTTTTTTTTTTCTTAAAGTAAAGACAAAATCTTTCTCTTGCTCAGGCTTTCTCAAACTCCTGACCTCAAGCAATTCCTCCTGCCTCAGCCTTTCAGAATGCTAGGATTACAGCATGAGCCACCATTCCTGGCCTGGGCAATGTTATCTTAACCCTCTGAGCTTTTATTCTTCATCTAAGAAATGGGGCTCTGAATCTCAGTGTCCCTCACAGGGCTCATACATGTGACCCAGGATGGTTTCTTCCTCCTCCTGCTCTGGCTCAGTTAGAAGTGACCAGTACAGGGTGGTCCCCAGAGAGGGGCGTTGCCTTGCTTAGTGGTTTTCACTCTAAATTAGCAGCTGGATGACTCACTGGGGCCAGTGAGATATACTAAAGGTCACTGTCCCCCCTGACCCCCCATATGTGCTCTGGGAGGCTAGTATCTCCTCCTTCCTACTTCTCCATCTAACTGTGTCCAGGGGACTGCATGATTCTGTTTGAGACTAAGTAAAACTTTTTTTTTTTTTGGAGACAGGGTCTTACTCTGTCACCCTAGGGAGAGTGCCATGGCGTCATCATAGCTCACAGCATCTCAAACTCCTGGGCTCAAGTGATCTTCCTGCCTCAGCCTCCTGAGTAGCTGGGACTACAGGCACCTGCCACAATGCCCAGCTAGTTTTTCTATTTTTAGTAGAGACAGGGTTTCTCTCTTGCTCAGGCTGGTCTTTAACTCCTGATCTCAAGCGGTCCACCTGCCTCTGCCTCCCAGAGTGCTAGGATTACAGGTGTGAGCCATGGCTAAGTAAACTTCCTGGCCTGGCCTACAGCCTGGCTCTCCGTGTGTGTGTGTGTGTAGCTATCAGGAGAGTAAGGCCAGCCCTTTGCAGTTTCTTCTGTGTTCCACACAGGTCAGAGAAACTGAGGTTGCGTTTCAGGGTCTGTGTGCCTACCCCAGGTGGGACCATATTCAGGTGAAAACACTGGTGTTGTGGTCCCCTGACAAGCTGCCTATTGCTCCAAGATGAATGTGGTCTGGAGTAAACTAGTTTGCCTAGAGGGAGTAGGGGCAGGGTTGAGGCAAGAGTCCCAGGGCAAATGGCACCTTTGTTTTCCTTCACCATCTTCCCCTACCTGATCTGCCGGTGAAAGTGCTATTTGAATTCTCCCGTCCATTTCTTCCATCAAGCTCTGGGGCAACCCTTTTTCTCCACTTAAGAAAAGCTGGGCTCTGGGTTTACTGTCTGGGGGCAGCTGGGAGTGAGTCTGCTCTGCCCAGCAAGATAGTGCCTCCCCAGCCTTGCTCCCTTTTGACCAACTCTGCTCTTCCCAACAGGTAAAGTAGGTCCCTCTGCAGCCATGTCGGCCAAGGCAATTTCAGAGCAGACGGGCAAAGAACTCCTTTACAAGTTCATCTGCACCACCTCAGCCATCCAGAATCGATTCAAGTATGCCCGGGTCACCCCTGACACAGACTGGGCCCGCTTACTACAGGACCACCCATGGCTGCTCAGCCAGGTAGCCTTCCCTGACCCTGGGCTCTTTATTTAGGCTCTTTATTTATCATGAGGTCACATGATCACCTCAGTGGGTAGCATGCAGTGGGCTGAGCAGGGTTTTATGTTCCCTGTGGGTTCTACATGTTGGGGAACTCTTGCACGGCCTTGGAACTGGACAAACTGGTGTCCAAATCACAGCTCTTTGTTTATTAACCATGTGGCCTGAGTCCAGCCATCTCATCTCTTTAAGTTTGAGATCACCTGTCTGTCAAGTGTGGATAACATTCTGGAAGGCATTTAGTGAGCTACTTGGTAGATGCTCAATAAAAAGCTACTATGTGCCCTCCCCTCCCCTAAGTGGGGCATGTCAGGAATGTGTCAGAGCAATTAGGAAGTGTTGACCTCTCAGTAAATGAAGAATGGCACTGACCCTTGGGGTCTTGCCTGAAGTGGGTGGAGGCTCCTGGCCTGGATCCCCGGTTGTTAGCAAGTTTTCAGCTTTGGCTGAGGTAGTGAGTTATCTCAGTTGATTGTTCCTAGGGAGTTGCAGATAGAACTCCTTGTTCTACTCTTTCTTACCTTCTTGACTAGTCTAAAAAAAATTATTAAAAAAAAAAAAGAAGACTTCTTTGGCAGGGCCTGGAGAACAAGAGTAGAACCAGAAGTGGGGGTCCTTTAACTGTGAGGCATCTACAGAGGGTGGCAGTGAATTTCCTGGCACTAGAGATGTGTGAGTAGTGTCTTTGGAAGACATGGTTTAAGCACAGTGATGGGGTTGGCCAGATGACTTCTGAGGTTCTTTGATACTCCAAAGCTCTGTCTCTCTGTTTTCCCTTTTGGAACCCAGGTTCTGGCCCATACTCTGAGGAGTTTACCGTAGAATGAAGAAGCCAAAACATCCCATCCCCATAATAAGTAGGGAATCACTTATTCACTCAGCATTATTTGCTGAGTACCTACTCTTCATCTCTGTGCCAGGCCCCACTCTAGGCAGGGATGGATCTAGATTCCTGGTTGTGAATAGAAAGATGTAGGTTTGGATAGATGAGAGAAGCTTCCCAGAGTTGACCCCAAAGGATGGCTGGGGTTGACTTTGGAGTAGGGTGAATTGGAAGTTATCTAGGCTGTCTTCTGCTTTGGGCCCTCCACATTATCGCCTCTTACTTTCTTCTCCCCTCCCTAGCTCTAAATACAGACTCTTCTCATTCCAGAGCTTGGTAGTCAAGCCAGACCAGCTGATCAAAAGGCGTGGAAAACTTGGCCTAGTTGGGGTCAACCTCACTTTGGATGGAGTCAAGTCCTGGTTGAAGCCACGGCTGGGACAGGAGGCCACAGTGAGTATGGGTATAGGATTGTGTGGGAAGGCTATGGTAACAGAAGTAGATGTGGTCACCTGCAGTCCAGCAGCTCTGTGGATCACACCTGTAATGTCAGGATTACAGCCTGGGGAAGGCAACAGTACAAGGTTGGGGGTGACCCATCCAAGTGGCCATAGGCAATATGGTCAGTCTCGATCCCAGCTCTCCTACCAAGGAATCCAAACTTTTGTTATTGGTTTGGGCAAAATGTCCCACAAAATAAACCCCAGTCCAGTTTAGGGGCCAGATGGAAATGGTCTGACCATGAAGAAGGGACTCTAAGACCCATTCTGGGAACTCTTTTTTTTTTTTTGAGACAGAGCCTCAAGCTATCCCCCTGGGTAGAGTGCTGTGGCATCACAGCTCACAGCAACCTCCAACTCCTGGGCTCAAGCGAGTCTCCTGCCTCAGCCTCCCAAGTAGCTGGGACCACAGGCGCCCGCCACAACGCCCGGCTATTTTTTGGTTGCAGCCATTATTGTTGTTTGGCGGGTCCGGGGTGGATTCGAACCCGCCACCTTAGGTGTATGTGGCTGGCGCCTTAGCCGGTTGAGCTACAGGCGCCGAGCCTGGGAACTCTTTTTGTTCCAGTTTCCAAAGAGGGTCGTAGTAGCTTGTAAGGACACATATACCTAAGATAGTGGATTTAAGAAAAGATGGAAAAGGAGATGTACAGTAATTTAAGTGGAAAGACTGTACTTTCTGGGATCATTTCTATAGTTTGTTAATAATTTAAGTGGAATAACATTGGGGCAAGACGTAGTATTAGGCTCAGCACCCAGAGCTCAGGGGTTAGGGCACCAGCCACATACACGGGGGCTGGCAGGTTTGAACTCAGCCTGGGTCTGCTAAACAACAATGAAAACTATGACAGAAAAATAGCCAGGTGTGTGGCAGGCGCCTGTAGTCCAGCTACTTGGGAGGCTGAGGTGAGAGAATTGCTCAAGCCCAAGAGTTTGAGGTTGCTGTGAGCTGTGATGCCATGGCACTCTACTCTGTCTCAAAAGAAAAAAAAAAGAACCTAGTATGTTGGGGGGTTTTTTTGAGTCTTACTCTGTCACCCTGGGTAGGGTGCTATGGTGTCATGGGTCATAGCAACCTCAAAGTCTTGGGTTCAAATGATCTTCTTGCCTCAGACTCCTGAGTAGCAGGGACTACAGTCGCCCACCACAATGCTTGGCTATTTTTAGTAGAGATGGGTCTCACTCTTGTTCAGGATGGATTTGAACTCCTGAACTCAAGTGATCTTCCTGCCTTGGCCTTCCAGAGTGCTAGAATTACAGGTGTGAGCCACCGTGCCTGCCCTTAAAGTATGAGATTATTAATAATGGTAAAGAATAAGCTTAATTCTTGATTTTTCCTGGCTTGTTGATTAAACTATGTAGATAAGAGAGCTCAAGGGAAATGTGGCTTGGGAAGGCTAGAACATGCTCAGAAATGAAATTATGTTCTTGCCTCTCTTGCCCAAGGGAGCTGGAAGACTGAGGGAAAGAGTAGTGCTGAGACTTGGCTCAGCCTGAGAAGGCTGTGCTGTCCACACCGGGCCTTATGCACTTGGTTCTGAAGGGCCTGTTGCCCATTTGGGGTGTATGTGGACCAGCGATGAACTGTTTCCTTCTCCACTGCCTTAGAAGTAGCAACAAAGGTAGTCATGGAGACATTTTCCTTATTGGGCTTCCTCAAAGCAGCTCTTCATGTTAATTTCCGGATTTCTGGTCCTCATGGGTAAAGAGGAATCCTTAAAGTTGCATGTGGCTCTTGGGTGGGGGGACTTGACATTTGGAGGGAGGCTGATAAGGTTGGTGCTGAGCATGTCCCCAGGGAGCACGCCATGCTCCCTTCTCCTCAGCTGGCCCTTAGGAGGGGCTGTCAGGGACGTCTGAGCTGGCAGTAGCAGCAGGACAGCAAGAGCGGCTCATTACCTCTGATGGATTGCTGTCTGGTCCCTGACTCAGCAGTGACGCACAGGGTGGGTGGGGAGGTCGGGACATACTGGGATGAGGGCTGTCTGGCTTCTGCCACCAGGGACTCACTCAAACTGATTAGCTCTGCAGGCCTGTTGTCCTCAGCCAGGAGAATCTGTGGAAAAGTTTTCCCCACCAAGCTCCAGCTTTCCTCTCCTCCCCCCTCCTCAGGTTGGGATCCTTGCCCACCTAAAGTCAGACAAAGCAGAATGGTCATGTCCCCTCTTGCCCAAGTTCCCATCTCCCTGCCCAAGCTCTGAGATAGCCTTGTTTTGTCTGAGCTCTTTAACACATTGACTGACACACTAGCAAAAAGTTTTTCCTTAGGGCCACAGTGTTTTATTAAGAGATGCATAAGTTGTATGTATTTCATGAGGCCCCAGGCTCACACTAGCATAAGTTAAATAAACATGGCAGTTAATGTATTAATTTGTGCAATTCATATATCACTGTCCAGAAATGAATGTCGCGCATATTAAAGTATAGCTGGCCCAAGGGCAAGGGGGCAAGAGAGGGTATCCCATGAGGACTTCTTGGGCCTTGGGATCTCTGACCCCATTTTTTGTGGGGAAGTCTCTTTGCTGGGTGTTGTGGTGTGGTGTTGTTCTTGGGGCCTGCCTCTGGATGATCCATCTCTCTGCGTTGGGAGGAGATGCCTGAGTTTCCTTTCCTTTAATTTCTCTGTAGGTTGGCAAGGCCAAAGGCTTCCTCAAGAACTTTCTGATTGAACCCTTTGTCCCCCACAGTCAGGTAGGTGCGTTATGGCTCCGAACTGGGTCTTCTTCCTCCTAGAGCTTTGTATTTGTCCACTTTTAAATGATGAAAGAAGTCAAGCTGATGAGGAAAATTCAGAGGGACCAGGATCTCTGAGGATCTGAGGGTACTGCAAAATAGGAAGTCCAGAGATGAAGGAAAGGGCTTAGTTTACAGCAGGAAGGAATTAGGGCTAACAACAGAGGGGACTTCCTGGTGCTGAGATGAGAAAGATCCCTGATCAGGTCACACTGGCTCAATTTGGACTGTTAATGGGGGAGTAGCCCCTGCTCTCCTCCTTGTCCCTTGGGGGAAGATGGTGACTATGTCTCCCCTGGGTAGATGTTTTCTGCTGGGTTTTAGAAATGAGACCACAAGGGTTGGGTTCCTCACCGGGTGTGAGGTGGCACCCCCATTTTCCCCAGTTCTGTGACCTCACTGGCTTCATGCTCTCTTCACCTGCAAGGCGGAAGAGTTCTATGTCTGTATCTATGCCACTCGAGAAGGGGACTACGTCCTGTTCCACCATGAAGGAGGAGTGGACGTGGGTGATGTGGATGCCAAAGCCCAGAAGCTGCTTGTAGGTGTGGACGAGAAGCTGAATCCTGAGGACATCAAGAAACACCTGTTGGTCCACGCCCCTGCAGATAAGAAAGAGTTGAGTGAGAGGGATGGGAGGGAGGTAGCAGTGGGAACAGGCACAGATCAGAGAGAGCAGAGTGGTCTTCCCTGTCTGGGTGGGAGCAGGCAGTGTTACAGCCCTTGTCCTGAGGAAGAGAGCTGGTGCAGAGCAGGGACTGGCTTGGAATCAGACTGAAATATGCCGCCAGCGTCCTCACCTCCTTGACCCTGTCTGTCTGGTGCCTCCTCCTCCAGCATCACTCTGGACAGTTCCTTTCCGCCTCAGTGGCTGAAGAGTGATGTCTTGGGAGTGAGGTTTGCAGAAGGGAGCGAGGGCCCAGCGGGACAAGTGTCAGGAAATGGATCTAAAAGATTGCTGTGGGTGGCTGGGGTGCCACCAAGCCCACCCCCTCACTGTCCCTCTTATCCTTCCCCTACTAGAATTCTGGCCAGTTTCATCTCCGGCCTCTTCAATTTCTACGAGGACCTGTATTTCACCTACCTTGAGATCAACCCCCTCGGTAACTGTCTCTGCTGGGGTGGGATGGAGCAAGAGGCAGTTATAACTGAGTGCTAGTGCCTGTGGTGACCATGGCCTTGGGGTTCAAAGAACTAAACCTTCATTTGCCACAAGACAATAGGAAACGGGTGTGAGAACAGAGACATCTCCAAGCTCACGAAGTTCCAGCTCCTGTTTCTGGTCTCTCAGGAGACCATAGTTCTTCCTCTTTTAACGAACTCCAGCTTCTCTTTGGTCTTATTTTTATTTTTATTTATTTATTTATTTATTTACTTTTTGAGACAGGGTCTCACTCAGTCACCCTGGGTAGAGAGTACCATGGCATCCTAGCTCACAGCAACCTCAAACTCTGAAGCATAAATGATCCTCTCACCTCACCCTCCCAATTGGCTGGAACTACAAGTGCCTGCCCAAAGCCTGGCTAGTTTTTCAATTTTTAGTAGAGATGGAATCTCACTCTTGCTCAGGCTGACTTTAAACTCCTGCGCTCAGGTGATCCACCCACCTCGGCCTCCCAGAGTGCTAGAATTATAGGCATGAGCCGCTGCACCCAAGCCTTTTCTTAGGTCTTAACTTGTTCAGAGGTGAGAAAGTCCTGGGTTTGATCTGTGTGCTTTTGCTGTTCCTGTCACTGGGTTAGGCTGTCCTACTAGGACTTAGGCTACCTCTCCTTGACTCTAATCCTTCTTTCCTCTGGGTGTATTCAGCGCTCCCACCTTCCCCTTCTTCTCCAGGAGTTGGTCAATCGTTGACCCTCTAAGTGGAGAGAGCTTGGTTCAAGCCTCTAAGGTTGTGATGGAGGGAGGCAGGTGGTGCTGGGGGAGAGGAACTGGCCAAGGCTTCTCGGGGCAAGGTCCAGGAAGCTGAGAAATCAAATCAGATTCCAGCTGAGGGTGCAACCCTTTTAATGGACCAGATGGCCTTGTGCTAACTTAATTAGTTAAATGGCCCTGAGAGGAAAGGAAGATGGATGTCCAGTGAGGCGGCAGTAAATGAATCCTGCTGGCTGGGAGCCCAGTACACCCCACAACCCTGCTGTACCTGACACTGAGCCTTCCTCTAGCTGGGAGCTGGGAAACCCAGATAGACACTCCCCAGGGGGGTCTTCTGACAGTAACACGTACCTTAAATACTTTTTTTTTAAATGGCTGAGCCACTGGTGGGCACATGGTTAGATATTTAAAGCAGAGAGCGTAGCATTTGACAGAGAAGTTTGAAAATTGCCTCCCTGTCTCGTTACCTATGATACAGGGACGGGGAAATGGTCTTGTAGAATTTGTTTTTCTTTTAATGGGGGAAAGCTGTGTCTCCATAAGGGCCATTCTAGTTTTCTCAAGCTTAGGGAGTTGGGAGACCCGCATGGGACCCCATGGGAGTGGTGATTGGGGATTTGGTGGGTAGTGGTCACCTTTGCCCAGAGCCAGTTTCTGACTATTTCTTCTTGTTTTCTCAGTTGTGACCAAAGATGGCGTCTATGTCCTTGACTTGGCAGCTAAGGTGGATGCCACTGCTGACTACATCTGCAAAGTGAAGTGGGGTGACATAGAGTTTCCTCCCCCCTTTGGGCGGGAGGCATATCCTGAGGTAAGGCTGGAAAGAGATGGGGCCCTGGGAGAAGGTGACTCATCTCAGATGTGCTTTTGCTAAACACCCGCCCCCCCCGGAAGCTGTATATCTGGCAGGGAAAGGGAGACCAAGAACCATTTAATTTTCTTAAAATCCCAACAGAGTGGGGGGTGGGAGTTAGCCAAGCCTCTGAATCCCAGCCAGAAATCCTTTTAGACTTCTCTCTCAATCAGCCTCCCTCAGCGCTTAGCTTGATTTGTTGCTTCTTCGTAATTCTAAGTGGCTCCCCCTAATCCTGTCGGAAGGTAGTTCTCTTGGCCACTCGCTGAGAATTTTGATTACTCTTTCCCACCCCATTCTTGGAGAAGTCTGTACAGTGGGATCAGGCCTTCTGCAAAGTAGCCCAAACCAGGGAAGGAGGGTGGGTGGGAGGCAGGTTGAGCCTGTGGAGGGTAGAAGAGGTGTGTGATGGACTAGGCAGGCAGATACTGGGCCTTCAGGTTTAACAGGGTGACACAGTGAGGCCCAGGACTTAGGCATAAGACTAAGGGTTTGACGTTGGAGAAGAGAGCTGTGAAGTTTGTCCACAGGTGGTAACTGTGGTTCTGGGTGGTCTAGTACTTAAAGATGTTGTCATGTTTTGTCCCAGGCATGTGTGGCCCTGCATAGTCCCAGTTAAGGTGATTAGTGACATCTTCATGTGTCTCCAGGGAAATGGAAGGGCTCCTAGGATCTGGGACACAGTGAAGGGAGTGCCCCAAGGGCCTATCTGTTGCTGTCTGGTCCCTAGGAAGCCTACATTGCAGACCTGGATGCCAAAAGCGGGGCAAGCCTGAAGTTGACCTTGCTGAACCCCAAAGGGAGAATCTGGACCATGGTGGCTGGAGGTGGCGCCTCTGTCGTGTACAGGTGACTAAGGGGGCTGTTGAAGGGATGCCGGCCAAGTACATCCCGTATCCACGTGTGTGTGTGGCCTGGGGGTGTCTAGTTTCTCACTTTGGTGTGAGGCAGGAACTCATGAGACAGAGGAATACAGTGACATCCCAGAGGGCTTTGAGGGGCTCTGGTGAGGCCTTTCCCTGCCCATCTCCTGCAACCTGCTTATTTGCTCCAAAATGAAGCACTTTTCATGAGTTTTAATTCTTTCTTTTTTTTTTTTTTAAAGACAGAGTCTCACTTTGTCACCCTCAATAGAATGCTGTGGCCTCATGGTTCATAGCAACTTTGAACTCCTGGGGTCAAATGATCCTTTTGTCTCAGCCTCCCAAGTAGCTGGGATACTCAGCTATTTTTTATTTATTTTATTTATTTATTTTTTTATTTTTTTTTGATACAGAGTCTCACTTTGTAGTCCTTGATAGAGCGCTGTGGTGTCACGGCTGACAGCAACCTCAAATGATTAAGTAATTCTCTTGCCTCAGCCTCCCAAGTAGCTGGGTCTACAGGCGCCCACTGTAACACCCAGCTATTTTTAGAGATGAGTTCTGGCTCTGGCTCAGGCTGATCTCAAACTCCTGAGCTCAGACAACCCACCTGCTTTGGCCTCCCAAAGTGCTAGGATTACAGGTGTGAACCACTGCTCCCGGCCTCCAGCTATTTTTTAGAGATGGGGTTTTGCTCTTCCTCACTGGTCTTGAACTTTTTTTTTTTTTTTT